TTTTTTTTTTTTTTTTTTTTTTTTTTTTTTTTTGCTAACTTGCAGCAAAGTTGGAAAGAAAAAAAAAACAAACAAAAAAACAGCCCCCAAAACCACAAGATAAATCTGAATAATACATACATTTTGGGAAATGGTGAACTGTTCATGGAAGAGACATGAGCAGAAAAACAAGCTAAATTAGTCAGATGATTTATTCATTGTGTATGATTCACTGCATTGCTAGCTGCTTCCTTCTCAAGCCATAGAAGCTAGTGTATAAACTGATACAGGAAGAGTGGGATCGATAGAGAGAAGCCTCTCCCTCCTCTCCAAGGAAAATAGGTCACCTGTCCCTGCTACACTACTCTCCAAGCGCAAGGCACATCTCAATAGACCAAGCCTTCATTTCCAGCTAATGAAGTTTGTGTTTTTCAGGGCAAAATTTGCACAAGGAGTGTTTCCTTCCTTCCGATCGGCTCTCAAATCCCTGCTCGCTTTGCCCTATTCCCTTCCCCCAACCTGACAGCTCTCATTGTTCCCAGATGATGGCTGTTTGCCGGTCCAGGCGAAAAAGATTTTGTGGTCTAAATTCAGTGTCCCCAAGACAGCTGGTGCTGTAGCGGAAGGAAAGCTCCCTGCAGCCTGGGGTGATGCTCAGCATGGGATGGCTGCTCCCAAACAGACCAGGCTGGAGGTGTCATTTATGACTGAGATGGACACGGCACTGGTAACCAAGATGGAGGTGGACCATCCAGGTCAATGGGGCTGGTGGTCAAAGCAGAGGGATGATGTAGAAGCACATTTACAGAGACCTGCCCTTGTTCTACCTGATCTGCATAAAACTACAGAGATTGGAAGCATCTCTGAGGCCCCTTTTACCTCCTAAACAAGGAATGATATATTCTGTGGCCATGCCTCTGCTGAATTTCTTGCACACAGCACAACCCACTGTTTATCATGTGACTATTTATAAACTGCTGTGGAAAATTCAGAAATAGCTTGTTCTCATCATACAGATCTGAGTGGAACAGCTGGAAATACTGACCAAGCTGGATCTGCACAGAAATTACGCACAAAGCTCCTGTGAATGGTATTTATTAGGAAGCTGGTGGGGAAGAGTTGCCAGCTCTGGATGATAAATATATTGAAAACTTGGGAGAGTGGGGTTTATTTACTGGCCCATCTTTAATTAATTAGGGAAGACAAACAATTATGGGAAGATGCTGCTGGCTGGACTACCTGACTCACAGTGCAGTCAATGGGCTAATGGAGATGTTTGCTTCTGCACTGCTGGTCTGTGGTGCCCTTCCCCTGTGATGACTCTTCCATGACTCACATGAGGCCAGCCACCTGTGTGGTGTTTGCCATCCAGCCTTTAGCAAGGGATTTGGAAAATAAAAGCAAAGCAGGAATCAGTGAGCCTACTAAGCAGCAGCCATTCCAAGTGGGGAGGTGAAGAGCAGATGGGGCTCATCAAGGCAAACTGCTCCCCAAGGGTGGTTTGGTCACTCTAGACTCTGGAGAGAGCAAAATACCTCTTGCGTCAATACTTTGGTCATGAAGTCAGATCTTCGGGACCAATATTCTGGAGCAAATACTCAACTGCATCTGAGGGCTGCGCTTTGTCTACTAGAGGATATTTGTTATTATTAAATCATGGCTCAGGTGGAATTTACTTCAGGAGACCTACGGTAAACATTTGAACCTGCTGCGGAAGTTCAGGAAAGAAGGCTCATCTGTTGCAAGGATCTTCAATTATGCTCAGCTTGAATGAGATCCAGGCCCAAACTGATAGCTTACCTCCTAGCCTTTTGAGAAAATTGAAATCCAGAGTTTTGTGGCCAGCATGACATTCACACTTAAAAGATTTCTGCAAATCCTTCAAAAATCTACTCCAAAAATACATCCCTTATAGAATAATCATTTCCCTCAAGTTTGGCTAAAACTGAAGAAACAAATGAGAAGCATAAGCCATTATGCACATCAGAATTTTCTTTTCTTTGTTTTAACCAAGCTCTTAATTATGTACTTAACAAAAGCAGATGTAGTCAACAGGTGGATGGAGTCCAAGTGCCATACAGGCAGACCAACACAATTCTTGAAGTCCCCAGTTACCTGCAACCATGCAGTGATCTGTTGTGAGTGTGCACCTTGGTACGGAGGCTCCTCAGTCTGGGGAGAAGAGAAAGAAGAAAGAAGGAAAATGTTAAAATACAATTTTTCCTCTCTTCTACTTTCCCTTCCTTTAAAAAAAAAAAAATATATATATATATATGGTAAAATGTGGGCAGAACAGAAATATGAATTTATAATGCATGACAATTCAGCAGAATGGCGGACTATGTCAACTATTGTGGTACCATATATATGTGTTCTATTCCATTGGGAAAATATATATCATTCAAGTAACAAATCATTTGGACAAATGCAGCTACATGGAAAACACCCATTGCATGAGGACACTCATTTACAATGAACTGCACACAGAGAGATGGCAAGATTTCCTGGTGTAGTTGGTGACAAAGGGCTGCCATGTGATTGTTTCTCTGGAGCTTACTTGTTGGTTTAAGTCACAGTCAGAAACCACTTCTTGTATACAAAGTTATGGGACAGAATTGACTCCTTTTCTGAAACAGTATTCTGAAGCAGTGGAAAAAAACATCACACTTGACAAATCAAGATGGGCAGCAGAAGGCTTAGCACCTGGGAAGAGGGATATGTAGGAAAGGATGGAGTAAGGCTTAAAATCACATCCAAATAATTTTGCTCAGTACTAGAGTAGCTCCCCAGCAACACATGTTGAGCATCCTTGAACATATCAGAGTTTTCTGAAAATAGGATATTAGCCAAAAATGCACTTTGATTATCTTACATTGTCTTTGGAACTAAAACTGAATTATTTTGAGTGGTCTGGCTGAAGAGATTTGGGAGAGAAAAAAGAAAAATCAAATAAGGAGTTGCCTATTAAATCAGGCAAATCTTTTACTTCATAGCCCAAATACAGAGACAAGGAAGGGAGATTTCTATTTCTTCCTCTCCTTGTGGGTCACAAACCTCTGAGCTTTGCTGCTGGGGGAACTCCTGAGCCCAAAGTCAGAGATAGTGCTGCTCCCAACTACCTCAACCCATTTTCTCTTTTGCATAAGCTATTAAACATCTCTGGATACAGGCAGCTGAATGGCAGACTCTTCACTGTGGATAGGCTGGTCAAAGATGGAGCTTTTCTCTTGTTGATGAAGCTTGTTTTGAGTAGGATGTTGAGAAAATGCTTAGCAATAGGCTGAAAAAAATCTCTAAATACTGAAATATGAGACATGAGAATTTTATCCTGGGAGGGTGACACTTTTCTTCCTCACTTTTCCTCCCCAGCTGACACTGGCAAGAGAGTATAAATCAATTCACGTAATTCCTTTAACAATTTTGGCCTTCTGTCTTCATTTACTTTCTTATGCTTTTATTAAAAAATAGTCACAATGATCACTTTTGTATGCTGAGAGATATCCATGAGTTGTGAACTACTGAGTTTAATACAGCATGACCACTGAAGTCTGTATATACTTTCAGAGCTTCCTATCCAGCACTGTACACAAGACATCAGCTATTTTGCCCTTTCAGTATAAACTATTTTTTTTTTTTTTTTTGGCTCTTTTAATATATTATTAAAAATTGGGAATAAAATTAATTTATTTTTCAGGCAATAAATTAAATAGTGATGACTCTGGAGAAAATGTTGCGCATTACTTTAACCACAAAATAAATCCCAATGAAGATGACATGTTCTCATGTCCCAGCATGTACACTAGTCAGCGTATCTAAAAATGCACCTCATCTTTTAATTATATCTAGGCTTGGAGTAGTCATCTCTTTAATGGCAATCAAAATATTTCCACACGCAGAAAGAAAAGCTCACAGCCTTTGAAAATGTTGTTGTTTTTTTTTTTTTTCTGTGAACATGAGGTGAGCAGATAGCCGGAGCCCTAGGATCAGTGATGCAAAGGCAGCAGCGGAGCAGGGGGTGGCTCTGGGAGGAGAGGGCTGCAGGGAGGGTTGGAGCTGCAGAAGGAAGCGCGGAGGTAAAGTTTCCCTTGTCTCCTTTGCATATTCATGGCATGGACCCAGCTGTTGAATCATAGTTTTCCTTTGCTTTCTTAACAGATTTCTCTGTGTTAATTAGATGGAAAATGTGGTAGTGGTTTATATAGCGCACATCCAAACTCACCGCTAGTAATAAATTAAAAATTCTTTAAGTGTGCCATTATTTTGTCAGTTCCAAGAAAAGGTTCAAAGGTAAATGTTGATTTTAGTACAGTGGTGGCGATTCTGCAAGTTTTGCCCACAGAACACCAACATATCTTTCAATGAATACTTATGAGCTATCGATTAAAAGAAAGAAGTTGCAGAGCTTGCGGTGCAAGGCATGATGCATGTTTGGGAAGCTGCGCAAATGTCTCTATATTAAATGTATTCGCCCGATCTCAAAAGATCATGCTGGAACTGTAAATTGTAACCCCTAGCAAAAGTGTAATGTTGATTCAAAGCAGGCATCTTTCTATTAGACTGTTTGAACAGATCTCCTTAGACAATGATCATAACCTCCCTCTCTGTTCCTTCACACATAGGTTATGATATCTATACTCTTCTCCCTGCACGTGACTCCACTTTTATGAGCTGTCTCGGGCTCTCCTCTGATTTTATGCTTGAAGCCAACAGGGATAACACGAAGCCCTGAACATAATGACAGCCTCTGCATTCAATCACTCCTTGCAGCAAAGCAGGGACACGGGAGGGATGTGAGGGATGCTGGATGGCTGAGGGGGAGCTGGACAGTGCCGGACAGGACTGAGATTGCTGGGATCCGTGTTTATAGGGCAATGCAGCACAGATCAGCATCATGCCTCACTCCTAGGAATGTCCCCGCAGTGCACATCAGTCCCATTGAAACGAGCCGCGCTGTGTCACTGGGCAGCCCACGTGCTGCCAAAGTGAATTACACTCGGTACAAAGCCACCTATAGAAAGAGACCTGTTTGTTTTTTTTTTTTTTTTCCCCGTGTAGAAATAGAAATGCACACTGATTTCTCATGCACGGTTTGGAATCTTTGCTTTTGAAAATGTGGCTTGTGGCTTGCTAATGTAAACATTTGCATTTTTGCACTCTGGATCTAAAAGCAGACATTTTCCAAAATATCACTGGGCAGGAAAACTTCATCTTAAATTTGCATGCCAGGTTTCTTTTAATTTATTTTTAAACGACAATCCCTTATGTCTGTAATTGCATATAACTCATACCAATTATAGAGGAGAGGCTGAAACTGCATCTAAGCTGCGTGCAATGCCAAAGCCGAGCCCACAAAATAATTCAGTGAAAAGTTCAGACTTTAGGTTGGTCACCAATAGCTGTTCCTAACGCTGTAAAACAGCTGCCGCCTAAAGTATGACCAACGAAAAATCTCCCCTCAGCATCACGATGGACAGATTTTAATACTTCAGTTATTAAAAATTAATAATGTCGCCCTTTAAAATATATTTAGGGACATACAAGCAAGTTTGTGAGGAAAAACATATTCAGACAAGAAGAAATGCCTCAGAAAGGGGGGTAAAAAAGAGCTCAGTCTGCACTTCTCTGTGCCTATGGGAGAGGCATGTAGGAGCGGGATCCCCAGCCCAGCAGTTCCCCCACTTGCCGTGTGCTTGGTGAAACACAAGGGCAGCAATCACACTGTTGTGCTCCTGAGACCTCACATCCTCTTCTATCTCGGTTCTCGTGCTGTGTTCTCATCACTGGGGTTTTGCACCTAAGAAGGGCTAATAGGTACTAATTATGATTATAGTGCAGCTATTTTTGCTATACTTAGTACGGTCCCATATGCTTAGGGTTCTGGAAGACAAAGGGGACAAACTGAATGATTTTGGACGTGAAATTCATTTGCAGCGCTATAATTCCTTAATCTAAGATGAAAGGGTGTATTGGATGGGCTGGCCTATGAATGAACACACACTGAAACTCCTGGGTATTTTGTTTTATGTTATCTGACCCCCAAACTGAAGAAAATAGCAGAATCTAGATTTTTAAATTTATTT